TTACTCCCCTCACATCCATTCCATTTTCAAGGCCAGAGTTGCAGCTTACATAACAGAAGGAAAGGACAATGAGCTATAATAGAAAACCTATTGTAATGCTTCCATCTCATGATATCTATGTGAATATGGCTGAACCATCCAACCTTTCTAAGTCTCATTTATTTGAAATTGTAAGATGAAGAAAAGAGCAGGGATGTGGGGCGCACTCCACACAGTGATGGCTTTTGCACTTTTCAAGCATTACACTACTCTTCATATGTAGGCCAGCTCCAGAGGCTGACAGGGTCAGAAGAGGGGAAATAGGGATTGGTTTAAGATCCAGATATACAGAGATAAATATATAGGAGAATTACAGAGACTCACGTAATCAAATAACACTGAAAAAAGAATAAAATTACCATTTGTGATATCACCTAAGCTTCTGCCAGTGTTCCATCTTCAGAATAATTTCAATATGTGCACAATCCAAATAATCAAGGAGTTAAAAATTATATTTATTCTGATTTAAATTTCTTTCCCACAGGAAACCATAACTTCTGAATGTATAGCCCATTGCTTAAAATTCCTTCAAAAAATCAATATTCCTACAAACAAAAACACAAACTTAAGGAAATCTGTATCCAACATTATATGTTACTTAGACATATTAATATCCTCTCTGCATGTATTTTGGATTAATTTGCATGATTCCTATATGTATAAAATGCAATTTAAAACCTATACATAAAAATGTGATTGTGCCAATTTGACTGTATTTTATAATTGTCCCAATGTACTTTAATTATATCGAAATACAAATGGAGCCAGTTACTCTCATTTTCAAAAGTAAATAGTTAAGATAGACAAAATTACAGTCACTTGAAGGAAATTGCTGCTGACAATCTGCCCTCACTGCTACTTCTCACTTCTGCTGCAGGTGTTTCAAAGTGATTTTTTATTAAAAATTGCTGTTTTGTAGAAGCATGCAAAATAACCAACTGGCTTCTGATTCTTTAGTTGCTTATGATTTATGAAAAGGAACTCAGCCAGATTTTCTTCATGTGGCATGCAGACACTAGCGATCTGTCGTTAGCATTTAACCATGATGAGCCCCTTTGAGATTTCCTCTCCTAAATACTCAGAGAAACATTTGGCTCGAATCTTCTTTTTTTTTTTTTTTAGTAAGGCTCTATAGGGTCTACAGGATCTCACTATAGAGATCGGACTCAGTGATCCGCCTGTATTCAGCCTCCCTAAGAGCTGTCTGGGCTTATAGATGCGCCCCACCATGCCCAGTCTCAATTGCTCAATCTCCGTCTCTGCGTGCAGGCGGGGGATGAACCCTGGCCCGATGAATCTGCCTAAGCAGGTGCTTTTGTCCACTGAGCTATTTGGCAGGCCTCTTGGCTAAAATCTTGAAAAAAGAACTCTCTACATACAGTAAAAACATTTTTACTGGGTTGATGTTTATGTTAATTATAATTATCTGCTCATCCTATTTCACTTTTCAGCATTAAGAAAAGTGAGCATATATACTTAGGATGACATGCGAATGTCTACCTACTTAGGGAAGACTTTGTCACCTGGTCTCAATGTCAATTCATGGAACAGTTTTATTCTCCATAAAGTTAAAACATCTATTCAGTAATAACATTATTATAGATTCAATAATGTTTGTTTTAATGTACTTAGTTGTCAAAACAAAATGCAGCACTAAGTCATTTTTCTCTCAAATTTTTTATTACTGATTCTTTACAATTAAGTACTTTAGAAACACCAATTTTGATTTTAGTCTGTTTTAAGCCAATGTATTTTGACCTCTGATACAAGCAGGGGAAATCACAGTTTTAATGGAATGATTAAAAGCTTTGGCACAGTACAAGATCTATCAATGATTGAAGAGGAAAAATAGCGTGTGGGAGACAGATGACCCTTTCTGGCTCTTTTGCAATCATGAAATTCATACAGAGTGTTTCCTGGGAGGCCCTTGATCTGCCACTCTTCAGTCATGGGCATCAGGGAATTTGACCTACTAATCGTCCCATTGGCATGGGGATGCCAATGCTATTCTTCTATTTTGCATGCATCACTTCTCTCCATTTAGGTGCTTAATCACTGTTTCTAGTTTTCCATATGCAAAAGCATGCAGACTATCTTCTTCCTATTACCCATCACCAACCCATAAAGACAGCATATTCATATACCCTATGAATTTATAAAACTCGATTGACATTTTACTATTGTTTTGGAACACTGACCTTTAAAGGTCAGCAGCCATTAAAAATAAAGAAACAAACAAATGTAAACCTCTTCTATTTGCTTTCCATGCCTGTTAATGGACAATGAAATAGGTAGAAGTTATTCCTTCAGAGGACAAAAAAGGACAATCCCTGAGGTTGGCATTGTTTCTAAGCATGCGACTGGGATGGTCATCTCCTACAGTCGAATATTAGACCAAGTGACAAGGAATGTAGTCATTACATAATGCAAACATGTACTTAAAAAAAC